ACTGGTGGTTTGACAATAGGAGGGATAGTCACCGGAGGGAGTGTCACTGGAGGTTTGACAACAGGAGGGATAGTCCCCGGAGGGAGTGTCACTGGTGGTTTGACAATAGGAGGGACAGTTACAGGAGGAAGTGTCACGGGTGGTTTGACAATAGGAGGGACAGTTACAGGAGGAACTGTAACGGGTGGTTTGACAGTGGGAGGAACAGTCACTGGAGGAAGTGTCACTGGTGGCTTGACAATAGGAGGAACAGTTACCGGAGGAAGCGTCACGGGTGGTTTGACAATTGGAGGAACAGTTACCGGAGGAAGATTCACGGGTGGTTTGACAATTGGAGGGATGGTAATCGGTGGCTTAACAATGGGAGGGACACTAATGGGTCTTTTGGGATGCTTCCCCTTTGTTGGACTCTTGCGCTTTGGCGGTGGCTTGCCGCAGTAGCCGCAGCCGAGGATGGGATCGGCAGAAGAGAGAAAGAGCATGAAAATGAGTAGAAGGGCTGAGATTTTGAGGGACTCCATCTTTTTCTGTTGCTAGGAAGCAGAGAGATGGCGTTGAGTGGAGAGTGGTGAAACTTTTGTGGAGAAAAGGAGATGTTATATAGGAATAGTGACCAGTAGACTGCAAAAAATAAAAGAATTTTTGATGGCAGATCACGTGAAGGTTTGTCAGAGCTGCCAAAATTTGCAAGTTGGCAAACTAACTTGCATATGCATGAATGATATATATGAATCCATTGTAAACCTATATCACCGCAATTGTGCGTTGCCTTTAACTTGGGTTAAATTTGTGGTTAAATGTCAATTTTTGGTATCTCAACTTTAGAGTTTTGTATAGTTTTTGTCCCTTAAAATTTTTGTATATTTTTTTCCTCAATTATAAAAAATATATATATTTTTTTAATTTTTTAGTCAATTTGTTATGTCTATTCATATATATATATATATATATATTTAGTTCCCAAACTTTTAAGTTAAGGGATGATATTTTTATATATATTATAAGTTAAAAGATTAAAAATATGCATATTTGAACGGATTTAATGAATTAGTTGAAGATTTTGAATTCGAGTAGCATGATATGCGGATAGGATGGAATAAGGAATGAGAGATGGTTGCCTACTATTATGCAACCAAAATAAAAAAAAATAGATTAATTGACAAAATGACAAAAAATGTTTTTTTCATAGTTGAAGGACTTAAAAAGTGTACAGTATATAAAAAAGTTAAGAATAAAAACTATGCAAAACTCTAAAGTTGAGGGACCCAAATTAGCATTTAACCTAAATTTGTTTGGCTTCCAGCTTTGATTTAGAAACAGCAGAGACAGATCTGGGCCAATTTGATTGTAGAACCTAAATTATTAGCTGTTTTTTCTATAAAATATTATATTTATTATTATCTTTAGATCATAGTCTTTAAAAATATTTTTGGGTAATGAATTTTTGCCTTCGTTCTTCAAGCAGTTAATTAGTGGGCTAGCTAATAACCGGAGATTATGCTCTGAAATGCCTTCTCCAATCACGAAAACTACTGCTTTTTCCTTTTGATTATATCAAAAAGCTGGTTAATTAGTTAGTACTTTTTTTTTTCACTGATAATTAATGAGTTATCGCTATTGTTAGTAGCTTCGTTTTCTTTTTTTTCCAATAATTAAAATAAAGATGTAATAATTAGTAAATTTGTATTTATTTTTAATTAATACTATTTAAATAAATCTTTTTATTTTATATATGTTGTAATTATATTTTTAAAATATATATAAAATATAAATAAATACATTAAATGATATTTTAAAATGAAAAATAAATAACTAAATTTAAACGTTCGGAATTAGTAATTGGGTATATTAAAGTTAAACAAAGGAGTATATAATGAGAAATAACTTTTTTAAAAATTTTGTTTCATTGATAATAAAGTTTGAATTTGAAATCCTTCAACTATGGAATTTAGAATCTTATGAGTACTTTAATAATAATTTCTTTTTAATAAAAATAAAAAATTTTAAATTCAAATAGCATAAAATGTAAATAAAACAAGTTAAAGGATAAGAAATATTGTCTTTATTATGTAACTTAAGATTAAAAAGAAAAAAAACTCTTACAAGTATAGATAGATCTAAGTAAGTTATTATTATTTTCTTATTTGACAATTATTTCTATTTGTTACTCACCAAAAGAATGTATTTGGCAATTTTACTAATCTCTATCTTTTTTTTTGTTTGGTACACTCCTTTTTACTAATCTTTAAAACTTAATATATTTGTAGTCTTTTATTTTTATCTTTTTTCCCTAATGAAAGCAGACATTGTTCAAATTTATGATCACTAACAAGTAAAAGAATACAACAATTTATCTACCCCGCGCTCTGAAGCTCGAGAAGGCTCCTCCACCACCAATCACATCAGGGTACCGAGGAGAGCAGAATAACAGATGGAGAAGAAAACAAAAAAAGAGGGCAGCCTGTGATTTATGTCCATAACCTTTGCAATCACGGGTGAGTGTACCGGGGAACCTTCCTTTCTTTGACGAGACCATGCCTGGTGGTGGTGGCTCTCTCCCTCCCCCACACTAATCGCACCTTGTTTTTCTTTCACGTGTCCGTCTGCTATGCTGCTTCATCCTTCCTTGTACACTTCTATATGGCTCTCTATTTCGGCGCGATTGGGCATGCTTTCTTGTCTTGCAACTTCTACTCCATCACCGCAAACAAAGAAAACGTTACAATCTCATTCTTACCATCATTATTTTTAATTCTAAAGTAAATGGTACTTTAATTGACTTTTCATTGAGTACTGGTCCTCCAAGCCAAAATAAGAGTTAAATTTTTTCAAATATGAAGTTTTTAGATGATAATTGGTTGTTAAAGAAGAAATTAAAGCAAGTGAATGGGAATAAAGATAGAAAGTAAGGCATGGTACTTTATAATTTTTTAATATAATAATAAGTGCAGAAGTTTTTTTTATATAGGTATTAAATAATCCTTCAAAAAAGAAACCCATAAATCCTAATTAAATCAATCTATTATAATATTTCTAAAACTTACTATCATAACTGATTCAATAACATTAATGCATGTCTTTTAATATCTCTCAATATCTTTAACATCCCCTAAAACTCAAAGTAATTTTAATTTACTGATTTGAGTTTGCAAGTAAATCTTGGAGGTGTATCTATAATTCTTTATGAAAACATCTTAAAGATAAAATATCTTGAAACCAGAGAACATGATAAATCCTAAATATGTACATCCATAACCTCTTACAGTGAATATCTCAAAACCAAGAATATCTCATTGCCGAAATTTAAGAATTTGTCTAGAGAAAAGAAGGCAGCCGAAGTAGTCGTAGAAAACTAAAGTAGAAGTAGTAGAAAATTTAAGTTAAAGCAACAGAATGAGGAATTGGAGAATTGGAGTTTAGGAAAATAACGAACCTAACTAAAAGAATTAAAGGAGTTAAATAGAGGAAAATAGAAGTGAGAGAAATAGAAGAATTTGAGGAAAGAAAATAGAGGTGAATTAATGTTGAGAGATGAATTTGTGCTGTTTTGAAATTTATAAAATGTGTAGCATTATATCAATAAGACCGGTTTTGAACTTGTGACTAAAAAGGACTTATATGATCTATTTTCACATCAGACATGTTATATTTTATTTTTTACTAATGCTGCAATGGAGTAAGCATTGTTAGAAGTAACACATACCCACTTCGTTAGGAATATTGAATATTACAGATATGATTTACTTCAATATCATTCTCATACATAGTCAAACATGGCTACATCTATCTCTATAACATGGTTGGACATTTATGACGGTCATGATCTCTATTGCAACAATTGTTGCTACATCTTGTTGGTTACTAGCAATGGATAAAGAGCTTATTTCACTACATCTACGTGGTTCTCATCAAAGGACAATGAGTTATTT